TGATGGAGAATGGGGAAGGGAGGGACGGGGATGGTGGTTGGCACTGGTTGCGAAATGGAAATGGCGGGAAAAAGCAGAGTAGGTAGGAGAAGAAGGGATGAGGATGCCATTGGGAAAATGGTTGTCCCTGGCAGTGCGATGGCCCTAAAGATGACTGTGGGGGGCTATGGTGGTGCACACTGCACAGTAACAGGTCGAGAGGCTGCATGAAATAGAGAAGAAAAGCAGAGTGCAAGCGGACCAAAGATGGAGAAGGGCAGGGAGGGAAAGAGAGGGAGGGAGGTAGGAAAAAGGGGGAGCTCAGGACGTGAAGAAGAAGAAGAAGAGCAGCACCCGACAGCTAGGGTTACTTGGTGAAGGTACCATCAACAGACACTGGCCATGCTAGAAATTGAGGGTGTTTGGTGAGGAGGAGAAGAGGAGGACGAGGAGGAGGGGGAGGAGGAGGAGGAGAAAAGGAATTTGGATATCGGACCTCGATTGCTCCTACGTTGGGCTCTTTTGCTCTTTGAGGCGGGTGGTACAGGTGGAACGAGCGTATCGTCGTCTTTTTTATTTTTTACTTTTTTAATTATTAATTATCTTCCTTTTGGCGCGAGGGAGCGAATCTTTGCATGTCTCTAATTACTTCGCGATTGGTTAGTTGGATTGTGTTTAGTTCGATGTTTTCTGAGGTGGATTAGTCCTTATCCTTATCCTTGAATGTGTAACTTCAGTGTAAGTTCATTGTAAGTTCATTGTAAGTTCATTGTAAGTTCATTGTAAGTTCATCCTTATCCTTATTGTCCTGAACAGAGGTCGATTGAAATTTGATCGCGGCCAGTGTAACTTCAATGAAGCTTCGCCGTAACTTCAGTGTAACTTCATTCTTATCCTTATTATCCTGAAGAGAGATCGATTGAAATTTGATGGCGGACAGTGTATCTTCAGTGAAGCTCCAGCGTAACTTCATCCTTATTGTTATTATCATCCTGAACAGAGATCGATTGAAATTTCATCTCGGCCTCCACTTTTTACTTAATAGAGGCTTGCGGGAATCGATTGAAGTGTCGCAGAAGTGTCGTCGAATTATCGGTGATTTTTCAAAAGCTTTATATTCGTGATGAAGTGTAGACTGTATCAGGATAATATAAGGATTCGTAAGTGGATAAGGTGTGGATAAGGGTTTTTTTTTTTGTTTTGTTTTGTTTTTCGGTTTTTTCTGTTTGATAGGCTTTTGATCGAGTGATTAAAGTTTTCTTTGTCGTTGGATAAGGGAGCGGAGGGAGGGGGGAAAGGGCGTTGCTGCTGGTGTGGGAGTGATTGGTTCGGTTGGTTTTGGGGCGTAGAAGAGGCTTTGCTCTTCGCTTGTTCTCCATGGGAGAAAGAGGGGGGTTGTTTGCCAAGCGGGTCACGCTGGAGTAGCGGCTTTGCGATGGAAGGGAGGACTCCGAGCTGTTGCGATAACGGCGCACAGTGGAGATGGACGTCTGCTGCACAACGTTCGAAGAGCTGAAAAGATGTTCCAAGTACATTCTTCCCCCGAATACAACGTACGGTCATTATAGATGTATTTGAGGCATCTTTCAGTCTAGATACAGCAATAATGACCGTTCGTTGTATTCGGGGGAAGAAGGTAGAAAAAGAAGAAGAAGAAGAAGAAGGAGAACGAAACAGCAACGAAAATTCATCAAATCCAGAGCTATATATCCCGTAATACCACTTCCGATAAAAAAAAAATAATAATAATAATAATAAATAAATAAAGGACACAGGGTGGGCAGACACGTACGAATCTACCGACGGCAATTTAGCGGTGGACGCATAAACTGATAGGACCTTCATCTGAGACATATGTTGAAACTTGAAACGATGTTTTGCCAATTATAAAGGGATGTTTTTTCCAAAGAAAGCCACGCTGGACCCCGTTTCGAGCAGGTGCAGGTTCCCCCACCAATAGAAAGGCGCGATCCAACGGACGGAGGTTACCACCAAGATGGAATGCTCATATCACCCTCTGCCGGAACCCCCCAATATGTACAGGGGGGAGAAAAAAAAGGAAATAGTACATCGATGGTCCAATGTCCATGGTGACCTCCCAAGTCTTCGCCATCCTGAGAGACGGATATGTTACCGAGCAAGCCGGAGAGATGTCGGTGCCGGAGCAGACGACGAATCTTTCCTAAATTAAATGAAAGCATCCGACGAACTTGCAAGGCAGCGAACACATTAAGAGAACGAAAAGACAGCAAGCGACTGGACATAGAGAGCGAGCGAGCGAGAGAGAGAGAGAGAGAGAGAGAGAGAGAGAGAGAGAGAGAGAGAGAGAGAGAGAGAGAGAGAGAGAGAGAGAGTATGTAGATATGTTTATTTGCGCGTGGCGAGACGGGGCATCCGATGACACTGATCGAACTGTTTATACACTTACCTTTTCTGTTTTGCTTGCCTGCCTTAACGAATCGTCGATGAAGTTATCTGCGATGTAAAGGAGGCGCCAAGGACTTCGAGCTCACAACCATGGCCGCAGCATGATGGCGCACGGCTCTCTCTCTCTCTCTCTCTCTCTCTCTCTCTCTCTCTCTCTCTCTCTCTCACACACACACACACACACACACACACACACACACACTCGATGTGTGTGTGTGTGTGTGTGTGTGTGTGTGTGTGTGTGTGTATCATGTATCAACCCATCAGCACGTTGTAATTACGCTCATGATCATCCCGCCTCTGTTCCTCGTCGTGCTCGCCTCGTCCTCATCATTCAGCTCGTCCCGAGAAAAGAAAAACGTGAAAAAAAAGAAAAAAAGAGGGATTGATTGATGGCGCGCGCACGTGCGAGAGAGAGAGACTCTGAGCGAGCACCTGTGCAAGGGACTAGGGGCTATCGCACCGGTAGGGGCTATACTTGCAACTCATCCTGTCTTTCATGCCTCACCACTGAACGCACTGCCTGTTTCTGCAAACACGGCTCGCTTTGTTTCGCTTGCAATCCGCGTTGACGCAGCACTTCCCCGTAACGCACGCCCCATTGCAACAGACTGCACCTTTTCTGCAGTCTCTGTGGTTGCAACACCCCGCCCTCTTGCATAACCTATAGCAGCACCTGTGCCCGGTACCTCCAAACTCCCGTCTGCAGTCACTATGTCGAGCACACAGGGGCCGGGGCTGAGGCCCTCGTGATAGGGCTTGACCGAACCGCCTCCCCCTCGCCAGTAGGACAATCGCGAGCAGGCAACAGAAGACAGACCACCTTCTTCCTCTCAATCCTCTCATCCTCCGCTCTGACACTCCTGTAACAGTTGGACGACAGAATGATGTCTCTGCCGTGGCCAGCTGACACGAGGAGCCGACACGCAACATTGCTGGCGCACTCACACCCACTCTTTCCGTCACCGCCATCGCTTCTGTCGACTGTCATGATGCTCTCAATCCCTCTCAACGAGTATTAGCGACCACTCAGTCGCAAAACACGGCGCTGAGAGCTGAACGCGTGAACACGAGTGTCGGCACACCCGGCCAGCATGCGTGTATGCGTGCGCCCCCGCGCGCGCGCGTGTGTGTGTGTGTGTGTGTGGTGTGTGTGTGTGTGTGTGTGTGTGTGTGTGTGTGTCTGTGTGTGTGTGTGTGTGTGGAGAGAGAGAGAGAGGGTGGATGAGCGAGCTAGTTGCGTGGACGAAAACCGTACACCTGTTATGATTCGGCGAAGTGGCGGAAATAAACTGCGCAGAGATGGAGGAGCGCCGAGATAGCGGCAAAACTACCGTTGCTGGCCAGCCTGGTCAGGTAAAGAGAGTGTTTCCAGCATCAGGATGACGGAACAACGACTCGGAGGATGATGATGTAAACGGGAATGCTACGCACACGGCAGGAGGTGAGTAGGGATGAATGGCATGAGCTGTGAGGGCACTGAGGGGAATGTTACGCACACCGCAGTCGGTGAGTGGAGATGAATGGCCTGGGCTGTAAAGGAAACGGTGAGGGGAGTCTGGGGAGATGCGTCAGCCTCCCGGATCTCAGCCCGGTTCACTCGACCCATTCTGGTCCTCTACTTACCCCCCCAATCCTTTCACTCGCTCTTTTCCCAAAACACGCACGTTATATACATTGTTACGATCACCTCATATCGATAAGAAGTCTAGAGAACAATTTGAAATGACAATCCGTAAACAATTGAATTGTCATACAGAGAGAGACAAAACAACTCAGTGAAAAGTTGCATTATAGTTTATGAACCTCCGCCGAGTTATTTGGCCTTCACTGGAAGCAGTGGAAGGTAACCTAAGCCGTATGTGTTATGAAACCTCTGTTTGGATTTTTGTATGAAATTCCGAACGAAATGAAAATAGTAAAATACAGGTCCTGGCGGATCTCCTCCACGGTATTTGTCACTGCCTGAGGAGGTAGCCAGAGGAGGTAGCCAGAGCTTCACTTCTTTTTTTACTTCTTTTTTTTTTCCCCCCAGCAATCGCTCCTGGGGCCATGCCCCACTTGTCGAGGCTCCCTGCCATCCGATCTGAAAATTCCACGGCCACCGTGCGACCACGTTGAAAAATTACACGAAACATAAACTAAACCCCCTCTAGTTCGCAGACAGGTGGCAGCGTTTTACCCTGTTGCATTTTGTCGTGTAGTGGTAGGAAAAAATGTAGACGACCTCTAACGGGGTTTATTGGGCGCATAAACAGTGGCAGATTCATTTTGATGTAGAAGAGGCCGATGGTGTTACCGCCTAAGGATAGAATGAGGCCCGTCCACGTACGGTATTTCGAAAAAGAAGGGCCGTACCGGTTCATGAATGTGCCATAAAAACGTTGCCAAATTCATGAACCGGTAAATACAGGCCAGGGGAGCTGTGGCCACGGCGCGAAGGCCCCTTTCGCCCACGCTGAAGACATTTGGGTCGGTAGTACAGAACGGCGAACGGCCGAACTTTAGGCAGCTAAAACCGAAAAGGCTTTTTTTTGGCGAGTAAACAACCGGAGAAATTGAATGCACAAGTCAGAGTAGAGTTTCCTCCAAGATGGCGGAGAGGAAGACCAGTGAAGCTGTTATATGTGGTGGTACCTCTGTGGATCAGATGGGAATAGACCCACAGAGCTCCTATTGGGAGGTAACAGGCCCCAAATGGCCCCAAGCCAACGACAGTCACTATGGGGGAGTACACTACACGCCAACTTGGGGAGCACTGTTTCTGAGATCACCTATGGAGCCAGAAGAACAGACCTGGCTCAAACTTTTACAGGCCCTTGGACTGCAGGACAACTCCCAAGGAAGTCACTTGCAACAACTGTGGGAATTGTCCTTTGGGACATCCGTTAAAATTGGAACGATACAGAGAAGATTAGCATGGGCCCTGCGCAAGGATGACACGCACAAATCGAGAAATGGTCAAAGTTAAAAAAAAAAGAAAAAAAGAAAAAAAAAAAGCACAAATCGAGAAATGGTCAAAGTTAAAAATTGAATAAAAAAAAAAANNNNAAAAAAAAAAAAAAAAAAAAAAAAAAAAAAAAAAAAAAAAAAAAAAAAAACTGTGGGAACAGTTACAGCTTCTCCCATCCAGGAAATATGAGGGTCTCTTGTGGATGTTATCTCGAGGAATCATCCCTACGACCACCTGGTTCCGTAAGAGAGGCATGGAAGTGAATCAGGACTGCCCACAATGCGGGGCCGAAGAAGAAAACTATCCATCATCTGTTTATAGACTGCCCAACAGCCCGTGATTTTTTGGCTTGCTGGAGAAAGCACTGGGAAAACCTGACAAATAAGGCTGTGAATTGGAGTGAAGACTGGATTTTATTAGGACGTCTCCCCGGCAAACTTGAATATTCAGACGGGATGGGGCTATATCGCTCAAGTGGCTAGGTCTATCCTGCTTTGGGTATTATGGCAAAGGAGGAACGGTAAAGTCTTCAGAGACGAAGAAATGGTACCTCAACGATTGCAGATTGAAGCAAGACATCAGCTGCACACAGCTGTTTTGGTGGACTCGGCCAGGAAGGTCGAAAGAAAGAAACCTGGTACGTGTAGATACAAGTGGTTCTTAAAAACCTGGGGTCTGGGAATAAATAACAAACTGCATGCTGTTAAAAGCCAGGCACAATTGGTTTTGGCGCCATGGCTCTTGCATGGGCTTTCAAATTGTTGTTTTATTCAATGAATTGAACAATTGAATATTTATTTGAGTACTAATTCAATTCATCAAATAAAAATAAGATTCTTCCTTTTTGTTGTTGATTTCATTAACACTTATTATTTGTGACTTATATAAAAAAAAAAAATCACCACTATAATTATTTATTATAATAATCAACTTCAATGTCAGTTTTCTTGCATGGGCTTTTGACAGTAGGACGGCAGAGGGTGGATTTTGGCAAGGGGGGGAGTGTCGAAAAGGTGGGGATGCCTACTGAGACAGTGTTATGTCTCAGATCGCCTGATCGCCTCAGGGTCTCAGATAGGTTAACGCATGTAGGAGCATTTACTAGCTCTGGGCAGTGGGCACTGGTTTGGGAGGGTTGTTAGGAATAAGGTGCTATAGGAACTTGTAGAGGCATTAGTAGGGGTTTTGCCCTTCTTACAAGGAAGGTTTTTCTTTTTTTTCTTTCTTTTGTGTCTTTCTTTGGAGGACTTACTGTTTTCCGGATCAACCTGGTTAAAAGAGAATAAGCTGGGTTAGTTTTGGCCGGAAAGGGGTTTTGTTTCTTTTGAGGGTTTTCGGTTACTTTTCTGGGATTTGTGAGGACCCGGCCTCAAACCTTTTTTTCATAAGCAATCAAGTGTTTCCTTTCTCGAAAAAAAAAACACAAAGTTTTTTTTTTTTTTTTTTTTTTTGTTGAAAAACAAAGGCTTCGATCTGTTTGTGGAGAGCGTCACAGATGGGAAACGGGCCCAGCGTCCCTTATAAACCATGTGCCAAAAAACAGGGCCAGGGTCCCGACAGTCTACCCGGAGAACAGGATGAAATTGCAAAACCGAAAAGGTTTTGGCGTGGGCTCTTTCTACCAATTATCCCACCAAAGTACACAGAGTGTGATTGTCACTGATTGAGCTCTTTGGAGATTACTAAGGCAGGTAAAGTACACGGAGTGTGATTGAGCTCTTTGCAGATTACTCAGCATTGTCATTTGTTCACCTTGAAAGAGCAGATGGTATAGAAGAGGCGATGGAAATTGTTCGTTTCTCCCTTGAGCAAGGATGAGAAAAAGAGTTGTGTGTCCGCTTTGGTCACTGTCTGTGTTTTTTTATCTTGATGTAACTTGTGAGCAAGGATGAGAAGGAGAGTTCTGTGTCGACTTTGAGCCTTTGGCTACTGTCTGTGCTTTTTTATCTTGATGTAGCCTGTGAGGCAGACTCAGGCAGTACTTAGTTCCCTGGAACAGACTAGATGGTTTATATGGACCTAATAGATGGAGGTTCCCTGGAACAGACTAGATGGTTTATATGGACCTAATAGATGGAGGATCTTGAGTGGGCAGTTGGAAGCAGAGTGTTGAGGTTTACCCCTTATAGTTTTCTGCTTCCCCTTGTGGGAGATGAGGGCAGTNTACATGGTACATTGGTCTTTTTGTATATGGGAAGCTGGAGCCGTTTTCCAGCTCGTGATGCTCCCCACGAATAGATAGAGTCATGAATTGTCTGTTTAAAATTCATTGAAAAAAAAAAAAAAACGTTGTCAAGGGACACCGGGCCTGGTTGGCGGGGCCAAGTCCCACATACACCGTTGAACTAGTTCATCGTTGAACCGGTTCAACGCGTGTGACCCGGAGCAGCATTGGAGATTCATCTGGACCTGCCCATCTACCAGTTGTTTCTTTGGTGAAAACAATGAAAACACTTTTTTTTTTTCTTTTTTTTTTCGGTTCATACACCATGCAGGAAAGTCTCCTCACCCGAATACAACTCCCCCTGGTACCCCTACCCTGTCCATCTTTCGTTGAACTAGATACCCACTCGGAGCGGGGTATCTGTTCAACGAATCAACGGTGCTTCCCACGCTGTGCCCGACGCCCATGAATTTCCCAGACTTGTTTTTGTGGGCGTCATCATTCTGTCGACCCCTACACCTCCTTGAAATCGGCACGAATCTGTCAGCGTGCGTTGATATACGTGCGCCCCTTCGGTCAGTGGGGTATGGGTGCGTGAATATTGCGATGTATCTATCCCAATTTGGCACATCCATTCATCCCATATCGTGATCTATGTAGCCTCAGCTCATTTTTTTGGTGAAGAACCAACTGACATACATCTAAGTGGGATGTATAAGCTGGATGTATGTCGCCCTAATTCGTCACTTGGTTCTTTTTAAATGATGTCCTTCTCCTTCTCCCACTCACCTCAGTCTTCTTAAAAAAACGTCTGAGCAATACGGAAAACATAGGAATAGACCTCCTAGGTCCTACAAATGTATCAAAAACCTTTGAAATATCCCTAACAAACCCTTCCAAAGCACTCCAACACTGTCCTACTCCCTGCCGGGCTCTTCCAGGTCTCACACCCCCACATCTTGCTGGGTTACAGGGCACCTTGCAGTGTCCTCGTGTTTGATTGTGATGTATGTAGCCCCAGCTCTTTTTTGTCGTTCTTAATGTAGCCGTCGTGCTATCCTCAACGCGGTTCCCAGCTTCAAGAGTCTTCTTCAGCAATTTGTTCCTTTTTTTTTTTTCCAAATTGCAGAAGAAAAGAAAAAAGAAAGAAAAAGAAAAAAAAGTTGAACTTTGTTGTGACAGTGGCAGTTGGTTTGTCTGTGGGATGTGTCATTTGCTCTTTGTTTGACTGATAGGCCTTCCTCTTCCTCTTCCTTTGTCCTTTCTTTCTTTGACTGGATCCCTTTCTCTCTTTCTCTTGCCTCTTTGACGTTTGGTTTCCTCCTCCCTTTCTTTACCTCTTTGCCTTTTGGCTGCGTGCACGTGGGTGACGTGGGTCCCTGTGACACACTATTATATGTATTCAAAGAGAGAGAGAGAGAGAGAGAGAGAGAGAGAGAGAGAGAGAGAGAGAGAGAGAGAGAGAGAGAGAGAGATGATGGAGAATGGGGAAGGGAGGGACGGGGATGGTGGTTGGCACTGGTTGCGAAAGGGTGAAGTGGCGGGAATAAGCAGAGTAGGTAGGAGAAGAAGGGACGAGGATGGGAAAACGTTTGCCCCTGGCAGTGCGATGGCCCTGAAGATGACTGTGACGGGCTATGGTGGTGCACACTGCACAGTAAAAGGTCCAGAGGCTGCATGAAATAAAGAAGAAAAGCAGAAGAGGGCAAGGGGACCAAAGATGGAGAAGGGCAGAGAAGGAAAGAGAGGGAGGGAGGTAGGAAAAAGGGTGAGCTCAGGACGTGAAGAAGAAGAAGAGCGGCACCCGACAGCTATGGTAACGTGATGAAGTAGCATCAACAGACTCTGGCCATGGTAGAAATTGAGGGTGTTTGGTGAGGAGGAGAAGAGGAGGACGAGGAGGAGGGGGAGGAGAAGGAGGAGAAAAGGGATTTTGATATCGGACTAGGATTGCTCCTACGTTGCGCTCTTTTGCTCTTTGAGGCGGTGTGGTGTGTTTTAGAGGTGGAACGAGCGTATCGTTGTCTTTTGTTTTTCCCTTTTTTATTTGATTATTCATTGTCTTCCTTTTGGGCCGTTTTGGCGCGACCGGGCGAATCTTTGCATGTCTCTAATCACTTCGCAATTGGCCAGTTGGATTGTGTTTAAGTCGATGTTTTCTGAGGTGGATTAGTCCTTATCCTTATCCTTGAATGTGTAACTTCAGTGTAAGTTCAGAGTAACTTCAGTGTAAGTTCATTGTAAGTTCATCCTTATCCTTATTGTCCTGAACAGAGATCGATTGAAACTTGATCGCGGCCAGTGTAACTTCAATGAAACTTCGGCGTAACTTCAGTGTAACTTCATCCTTATCCTTATTATCCTGAAGAGAGATTGAAACTTGATCGCTTGAACCCGGTTTCGAGCAGGTGCAGGTCCCCCCACCAATGGAAAGGAGCGATCGAACGGACGGAGGTTACCACCAAGATGGAATGCTCATATCACCCTCTGCCGGAACCCCCGAAGATGTAGGAAAAACACAAAAAGCAGAAAAAAAAAAAAAAACAGAAAAAGAAGGAGAAAACAGAACAAGTGGTCCAATGTCCATGGTGACCTCCCAAGTCTTCGCCATCCTGAGACTCTGAGACGGATATGTTACCGAGAAAGCCGGAGAGATGTCGCTGGCGGAGCGGACGACGAGTCGTTTCAGAATTAGATGAAAGCATCCGACGAACTTGCAAGGCAGCGTACACATTAAGAGAAGGAAAAGACAGCAAGCGACTGGGGAGAGAGAGAGAGAGAGAGAGAGAGAGAGAGAGAGAGAGAGAGAGAGAGAGAGAGAGAGAGAGAGAGAGAG